ACACAGTCTGGAGGTGGGTGGAAGCGTGAGCCTACTGTGACATGTGACACGCTGCCTGTGCCTGGTATGACCTCACGGGCATAAATGCAGTTGGGGAGGGTAGAGGGCTCTTTGGAGGCAGCCCTGGAACTGCGGTGGGTCAAGAGTGGAGCGCTGCAGGAAGGACCCCACTGGGACTCACGAGGTGCCAGCTAAGCACAGGCCCCTCACCAGGCCACAGGCAGGTCCTGCGTAGAGTGCAATGCCCCGCCCCACAGATGCACACACCCCTGTGGGCCTCACACACTTCCAGGACAGGAGACTCAGCTTCCTCAAGAATTTTTTTTTCATTTGCAAACAGATTGGTTTGGTATATTCCATGTCTTCCGTTCCGGTAATTCTAAGGCCTATGGTCCCATTACGCTGGTGCCTGGGCCCTTGAAAGGCTGCGTCGGTCTCTGCTCATACTCTTGTTCCATCCACAAAATGTCTGGGTCTGAGTCGGCAGACCCCACTGAACCTGGTTCCCATCAGTGAGGTGGGATTTAGGGACCATGATCTGTGACTAGTGGTGCATATTGCTATTGGGTTGTCATTGCTTCTAGAACTTTTCGGTGGATAGAGCCAGGAAGTTTGTGTTTTTTAAAAGAAAAAAATGAATTTCCAGTTCAAATTTGACATTATAAGATTTTAACTGTCTTCTTTGAATGACATTGAAGATGTCTTTGCAACTTGATTTTTGTTTAGAATGTTGTTCTCTAAGGATGTATAGTCGAAATATGGACTCCTTAGGTCTCTTGAGCAATTGTTTCTCTGTGTGTTGTCACCAACCTCTATACAGTTAGGTTCATTCGTTTTAGGTTGTTTACGTATTTTAGGGATTTTTTTTTACCCTTTCTGATTTAATTTTATTTTTTGAACGTATGAACCATTTATATGAGTGAAGAAAAAGAAGTCATATAACAAGATGTGTTTAGTGAAATCTGACTTCCATCTCTGTCTTCTCTCCCCTGTTCCCTCCCTTTCTTTCAATCACTGTTGGTATTAGTCTTGGTTTATCTTTTCATTGATTATTTTGCAATGTATACATATGTGTATGTGTGTGTATGCATGTGTGTACATTTGTATGTGTATCTATGTGCATGTGTATATGTATATATGTATGTGTATGTGTGTTTATGCATGTACATGTTGGCATCTATGTATGCATATGTATCTATGTGTGTATATTGCATTTGTATACATGTATGTGTGTGTACATGTGTACACGTGTGCATGTATGCATTTCCTCTACTCTTACACAAAGGGTAGCATACCCTGTGCCTTCTCTATACTTGTTTTCATGTCCTGCTCCACCTCAGAGGACCCTCATATCAGCATAGGAAGACCCACCTCGTCCTTGTAGTGCTTCCCAGGGCCCCATTATGCAGTGCTCTGTGGTTCATCCAGTGTCGCCATGGGTGGACCCCTGGGTGGCTTTTGACCCTTGCTGTCACAGACCAGGCTGCAGTGCAGCACCCTGTGGTGAGTTTACTGGTGCTCCTACGATGTGGCTGAGTTGCTAAGCCCCAGGCAGATGCACAGGCCCTTCCCCCCAGGTAAGCCATCTCAGTCCCTGGCAGTGCCTGCACCAGCAGGTTGGGGCTGCACCTCTGTGCTTTGGCCCACTCAGGAGGTGGGAAATAGCAGGTCCATATGTTATGTGCATTCGGTTATGCAGGAAGGTGAACAGGCTGCTTTTCCTCCTCTGTGAACTCTCTGTGCCTCTGGCCTGCTTTCTCTCCAGCGTTGGTCTTGTCCTGTGGCTCCAGGGTCCTTTGTGCACAGAGGCTGCCACCCCTGCTCTGTGGCTTAAATGAAATATCTTTTCAGAACCTCTCATTTGTTTTTTGATTTTGCTTGTGGTATTTTTGGCGAAAGTGTTTTATTCATATTGGTTGAATTTAGCGCCTGTGAAAATGGCTTCTGATCTGGAAAATGTCATGCAGCCCTGGTGTTGGGGATGTGGAGGCAAAGGGTCTCACACTCTGTGGGGCTGGTGTCAACCTGCTGGCCAGCAGTGACCTGGTCAGGGCTGTGATGGGTGGTGGAAGGGCTGAGGGAGTCTTGGCAGAGGTTCTGGATGATGGCCACATGGGTGAAGAGAGGGCCCAGGCTCTGGAAGTTGCCCTCAGAGGCAGAGGATAGGCCCATACAGGGTAGGGAGGGCATAGGAGGCAGGGTGACCAGGATAAGGGACTGGGGACGGAGGAGCCAGGCCCTGCCACAGGCATGTGGCTTTCAGGGACCTGCAGGGCCAGTGAAATGGGGCAGGGGGTGCACTCTTATCTCATCTGGTTCCCACATTGGCCCATTTTACAGATGCAGACACTGAGGCTTCAGAGAAGAGAGGCCTGTCGAAGTTCTCAAGTGCATCAAGGGACAGATGCGGCCTAGACTGCCGCCTGCCCAAGGGAGGAAGTCTCTGAATGCTGGCTTTGCAGCCTGGATCAGCTCCAAGGCATCAACTGAGCCAGCCTGGGATCTAGAAGGGAGGACCAGGCAGAGCCCAGAGCATAGTCTATATCCAGGGCTGTGCATGGGAGTGGGCAGAAGCCTGAGAAGGCCTGGCAGGGAGGGAGGAGGCCTGGGGGAGAGGGGCGGGGTAGCCAAGGACACAGTCAGGACAGGACAGGGCCTGGACACTGAGGAAGGTGGGCAGCCGTGGCCAGGGAAGGATTGCTCACAGCTGACCCCAGGTTTCCTGAGGCAGAGAAGGCAGCTTTTGTGGCATCTTGATTCATGAGGGACTCAGTGCCTTCTGGGCTTACCTCTAGTGCTGAGTCATCCCCAACTTGGGTGGGCCATGGGGGACAGCCCACCTCTGGGTTGTCAGAAACAGGATAATGTATGATTCACATCGTACAGTAAGAGTAGCAAAGGGGAAAGTGACATCAGTTGAGCCTTTCTGAGAAAAGGGGGATCTGTGAGGGTACACAGAGAGGACATGAAGGGAGAGAAATGTGACATGGGCTTGTCAGGGCTGGGGAACAAGTCCCCAGTTGTCCAGTTGGCTGGGCTAGGCCCCATGATGGTGGCCTACATCCGCCCTCAGGAGTGTGGCCGGCAGAAGGATGGAAGGACCTGTGGCCTGGGCAAGGCACGTGGACCTCAGGCTGACCGAGGCCCAGGTGTGGGGTATGGCTGTCCCTTCCAAGCCCTGGCGAGACCCCACTAGGGGCAAGGCTCAAGAAGGGGTTGTGGGGAGGCCAGTGTAGGCCAGGTTTAGGGCCGAAGGCAGAGCTGGGGCCTATCTAGGCAGGTCAGGGCCTCTGTGGCCACCAGGCACACCTGGGCTCAGAACCTGGACAAGCTTAAGACCAGCAGTGGAGCCAAGAGCAGCTTGGTGTGGTCTGCAGGTACCCACTGCCACCAGAGAGCTGCCAAGGGGGCTGGGGTGGCCACGCTGCTTCACCATGCTCACCCACCTTGGGGGTGGGGCCGCGAGGCAGACAGGTGAGGGGCCTAGATGTGGTCAGCAATGTGTGTAGCAGGGCTGGCTGCTGACCTGGCCCCGCTGCACTTGGGACTCCCCACCACCACACGCACCGGGGCCCAGCAATGCCCCGGAGTCACCCAGCAGCCCAGCCCCTCCCCTCATCCTCATAGAGTTGCTTTAGCGCCCGCCTGGCAATGCCCTGGAACCTAGCCGCATGGGCTGACCAGGGCGCGGGCAGCAAGCCCTCGGGATTCGACTCCTGTTCACTGTCCTCCCCTCAGTAGCAGTCTTGTGGAGAGAGCCGGGCTTTCCAGGCACCTCGCCTCCAGGATTTAGCAGAGCACCAGACAAGTCACCTGGCAGCCCTGCCCATGTCTGACCTGGTGGGCAGGCACGGGGCACTGCAGGGACGGCTCCTTGCTGGCTCCTCAGGTCCACGTGGCCATGCCTTGGTCTCCCCCTGGGATCAGAAGCCTGCTGCACAGGGGGCTCTAGAGGAGGGCCCAGGCTGGCAGATGGTGGCCCCACTGGCCCACTGTCGAGTGTTGCATTTTCCTGACAGAGAGAAGGAGATGGGCTTCCTGGGACTCTCCAGAGACGGGCTACAGGCCCTGAGCTCTCTACTCTTGGGTCCTCCCTGCTTCTGAGAACAGTGTGGCTCCTCATCTGTGTCATATCCCCACCTCCGTGGCTCCTGATGGGCCGCAGCCACCAGGAAACCTTCTGGGAGAAATGGAAGAGTCTCAAATTATTTGCTGAAAAAAACCACCACCACCAAAAACCCATAGACCCCTCAAGTGCTCTGTGGGGGCTAGCGCACCCTGCTAGGGTCCCGGAATCTATGGCTCTCACCCTTCAAGGCTAGGGGACATGCACATGGATGCGGGTCTCATGGAACCCTACCTGGTGGTGGCACTGGTATCTGAGACCAGGCGCCTGACAGGAGGAGAGCATCAGGCCTTACCTGGGCTCCCGGCCAGGCCTGAGAGTCAGCCTCAGGGTGTCACCAGGGCGTGTCTGGTTCTGCTTTAGTGGTCTAGACAGGGCCCTTGAAGGAGGCCTAGCTTTGCTCTCCACACACAGAGACCCAGGATAGGCAAGACGAGGCCTGGGGGTATTATTCTCATTGCCTGACAGCGCATGCTATGCTGTGGGGGACGGAGGCAGGGAAGACAGACGCCCAGGGCCAACAGTTTGGATGAAATCCCACGGAAGCTGTGGACCCGGCGCCGCGGGACCACAGGCAAGCATGGGCGAGGTCCCCATTGCCCTGCTCACCTGATGCCAGCAATCCCCTTGGTGCACCTGCCTGTCTTATACATCGGTCACAGTTGTGGCCACTGTGTGATGTGCCTTTTCAGCCGTGTTATTTGTGAGTGTTTATCTCAGACTCACAGATGCCCCTCAAGGCTATGTGTCCTTCATGTTTCACCAGTTCTCAGAAATGTTTTAAGTCAGACCAAGGAATCTGGTTAAGAAAATGTGAATATCTAGGTCAAATGGCTAAAGAACACTTTTCAGCCTTCCTCTTTGCTTCCTTCAGGTCGAGCTCCAGAAACCAGAAGTCTGAATTTGGAGAAGGCTGGAGTAAATACCAACCCCGACAATCAGAAGATCGTGGTTGATGCCCGGGAAGCCACCTCCGTGCCCCACATTTATGCCATTGGAGACGTGGCGGAGGTAGGGACTGTGCCCTGCACCTGTCCCCCGCTCCAGCCTGAGCCAGGCTTGGGCTGTGCGTGGCTCTCGTGCCTCTCCTCAACCACAGAGGCTGCAGACCAGCCTCCAGGAGCTGTCAGAGCATGTGCTCTGGGGAGGGCTGGGTATTAGGCTCTGCCCTCTCGAATGCTCGTCCTTCATGTGGAGGGTGGATACAAGAGGACTTAAAAAAAACAGGCTGCTGACTGAGCGAGAAGACATGATTAGCAAATTCGGTTGCGCATCTTTTCATGTCTCGGCTGCCAAGCATGGGCTTTGGTTAGTGCACATCAAGGTGGGGCCTCGACTGCCAAAGCTGGTCTGGAGGCTCAGCATCCTGGAAATGCAGCTGCTAGGACAGGGCCTTGGGACTGTCATATCCCCACACGGGGCCCCCAGAAGGCCCACCTGCCCCACTCCCACCTCCTTGCCTTACTTTACACGTCTGAACTGTGGGCATCAGCAGGGGGCAGAGCCTAGACCTAGGACATCCTTACCAGGGCAGGGAGGGAGGTTCAACCTGCGGAAGGGATAGGGCCTCAACAGCTGCACGGGGTGAGGACCCAGCCCCCGCAGCATGTGACTGTGGCAGCATCTCTGCCTTGGAAACAGGGGCTGTAGCACCCCCTTGTGAGGTTGTGGTGAAGATGCTGTGGAGTCGACACTTGTCAGCTGAAGAATGTTTAGTCAGCATCCCATTCCTCACATTCCGGGCTCCCAAGAGAATGTGGGCTGATTAATCATGGAGGCCCCACACCCCCTCAGTCCTTCAGGAGCAATTGCCCTGGCCTGGCCAGCACGCCCTGGATGGGAGGGGCTCTGGCATGGCTGGGGGGCCGTGTGGCATCGTGACATGCCGATAGGTTTCGTCCATCACATGTTTACTGACTCCAGCTGTGTTCCAGGCAACACAGGAACAGATACCAAAGGTCCTGGTCCTCATACAGGTGACATTCTGATGGGGGTCGTAGATGACAAGGAAGTAAGTAGAACACTTTAGACATCGGAGGATGTTTATTGTCAGTGGTCAGGAGAGACCTCGGGGTGAGGGGATCAGGCGGGAGCAGGGGAGTGCCCTCACCACCCTGCCTACCCTCACCCGGCCCTCCACGGAACCCATTTTGGGCATTGCCAGGGAGGAGCCTGGGCGAGAAGGGGAGCTAGTGTCTGAGGCAGAGTGGGTCCCCGCGTGGGCTCTGGCCACAGTTGTCACTGATGCTGCAGGACCATCCCTCCTTCAGCCCCGCCTGCCATGCTCTGCTGTGGTCCTTGCCCTGCTCACGCCAGGCAGTGGGCTCAAGAGAGCTTGGCACTCTTGTGGACATGGGCTGGGGCAGGGGTTATGCAAGGCCGGGCCTTCCCTTTGTTCCTGGCGCTGAGCCTGTCTGATACCTATCCCCAGAAATGGTGCCCACTCATCACCAAGCAAACCCCTCTTGCTTCAGTTGCCCGCCAGCTAGTGCCCAGACATGAGCCAAGCGGCTGTCCCCATACCCATCTTTCTAGTCCCGCCAGGCCTCCTGTGAAACCAGGCTTAGGAAATGGTGCATGGGGCCTGGAGGACACTGGAACCGACTGCTGCAGATGCAGGCCTCTAAGAGCCACCCTCTGGATAGAGGTTCCCCAGCCATCGAGGCAAGACAGGGCTCGTGCGTGTGCGCGGAAACAGCTCGGCAAGGTCCAGAGCTCCTGGTCCCTCCCCTGAACTGTGTCACTTACAACCATCCCGGTCAGCCTTGTCAGTTCGGTTCGTGTGAAGGAGGTGAATGGCTTTGCATGCCCTGGACTGCCCCGCGGCCCAGCCCGTTTATCTGGCCGTGCAGTTTCTCAGGCGTTACCTCTGGAAAGCATGGCCTCTGCATTGAATAGTTGGGACACGGCGTTCTCTGACTGCGTGCTCTGTGCGTGCTCCACCCTGAGACAACACCAGCATTCTTGGCAGAGAAGCGCCGTGTGCATTACAGCCGCGCTTATCTGTGGACAAATGAAAACATGGGCCTGCGCACCCCCCGTCACCAGCGAGTTAGAGCTCTGTCAGCTGCACAAATGTGCTCCTCCCGGCTCCAGGGCTCATAACACCGAGGTGGAAACCATCATGGTTCAGACTGTGCTGCTAGAAATATATTGCACATGCAAAGCATCATCTGTTAAAAAATTAAATCCACTCTGTTAGAAAAATGACTCTGAGCAGTTGAAAGAGTTAAAAGCCCACTGCTGCAGCGACCTCTGGGGAGAGCTCTGGGTGGATGGGTGGGGTGGCATTGTTTAACGCGATACTGCGCACCGTGTGCGTGGTTGTTTCCGCAGTTAGTCAGGCCCAGTGGAATGCACAGGCTGCCTGCACAGCTTTATCTCCGCTGATCTCCATTCATTTCTGGAATGCCAAACAGCATCCGCATTTCCTGCTGCAGAGGTGATTGGCAGCTGGCCCTGAGCAGACGCGTGCAGGAAACCGGTGGCAGTGCCACCTCCTGTTCTCTGAGTAGGACATATCCTGGGACCAGAGGGGTCTTCAGCAGAACAGCGCCCTGATTTGAGATTTGTCGTGGGCTGTGGTGTGAAAGTGAAACTGCGTATCAGGATCACCCAGAATGCTCTTGGGCCCATTTTAGCCTGAATCTTAGTTAATGCAAACGGTGTTGTTGTTACCAGTCATGGAGTCAGCCCCTGACTCATGGTGACTCCATGCACAACAGGATGAAACGCTGCCCTGTCCTGCACCATTTCCATGATCGGTTGTGGATTGGACCATTGGGATCCATAGGGTTTTCACTGACTGATTTTCGGAAGTAGATCACCAGGCCTTTCTTCCTAGTCTGTCTCAGTCTGGAAGCTCCTCTGAAACCTCTTCAGCATCGTAGCAACACACAAACCTCCATGGACAGATGGGTGGTGGCTGTGTGTGAAATGCATTGGCTGGGAATTGAACCTGGATCTCCTGCATGGAAGCCGAGAACTCTGCCACTGAGCCACTAACCAAAACCCCAGTGCCATCGAGTTGGTTCTGACTTATAGCAATCCTATAGGATAGGGCAGAACTGCCCCATAGGATTTCTAAGACTGTAAATCTTTACAGAAGCAGACTACCATATCTTTCTCTGTCGGAGAGGCTGGTGGGTTTGAACTGCTGACCTTTTGGTTAGCAGCCTACCGCTTAATCACTGAACCACCAGTGCTCCTACTGAACTACTACTGCCCCTATAACGTGAACAGTAGCAGGATCTTTTGAGCTGTGTAGTGGGGGCATCTTTTCGTGGTCACCAACTCAAAGAACCGGATTCAGAGAAACTGTGATCGAGGGTGGCAGGGGCAGGGGTTGTTAGCAGCCCACTTCCCTTCCAGAAGGTGGATCGTAAATATGGCTGTGTGTAACCACAGGCATCTCCCTAGGGCAGCTGGAGGGGAGCAAAGTAAAGAATAAGAGAAACCCACCAAGGGCCTGGAGAAGGTCCCACTGTTCCTCCATGCAGGAGATTGTGCCTCAAGTGGTGGAGGTGTTAACCTCCCTGCGGCTCCGTGGCAGACCACGTTTGGGGTTCCTGAGAGGGAGCCCCCTCACTAGGAAGGCGATGGGCAGTCGTTTGGGTGGTGGTGTGGGGGGCTTCACTCACCCCCTTGCCCCTGTTGAAGTAACTCCTGTGCTCCTCCTGGCAGGGGCGGCCTGAGCTCACGCCCACAGCCATCATGGCAGGGAAGCTTTTAGCCCAGCGGCTCTTCGGTCAGTCCTTGGATCTGATGGAGTACGACAACGTGAGTGATTGCTTCTCCCATACAGCGCCGGGGCCAGCCTGGAAAAGGCTGTGCTGCTCCTCTGGGGCTGAGGGTGCATGTGTCCATGCATGTATGTGTACACAAGTACATGTTTGTGTACTTGCATATGTGCAGCTGTGCATGTGTGTGTGCATGTGTATGCAGGCGCACACATACATTTTTGTCCATGTGTGCAGGAGTGTGCATACATGTGTACAGGTGTGTGCAGCTGTGCATGTATGTGTATGTGCGTGCACAGTGTGTGCATATGTGTATACTTCTGTGTGGTCTGCATGTATGTTCCTATGCATATATGTGTACACGGGTATACCTTGTTGGTGTGTGCAGGTGTGTGTGAACGTACTTGTGTGTGCCGCAGTGCATGTGTGTACATACACATGCATGTGAAAGTGCTGATATGTGTGTATGTGCATGTATATGTGTGTGTGTGTGCATGGGGGGTAGCTCTGCGGGCATCACCCAGGAACGGGTGAATGCAGTGAGTCTGCAGGGCTTGCAGGCTGCCAGCCAGCAGCGTCTGGGGTCCTGGGTTGCTGTCGCTGTTCTTGTAGACTGGGGTCTTCAGGTGTGGGGGCCTGAAAGATGTGCTCAATGGGGACCTACTTTTCAGGTTCCCACGACAGTCTTCACCCCTCTGGAGTATGGCTGCGTGGGGTTGTCGGAGGAGGAGGCTGTGGCTCGCCACGGACAAGAGCATGTCGAGGTAAGTCAGTGCCCAAGCAATGGCCCGCCTGCCGATAATGCCTGTGCCGCGTTCATGCCCCACTGAGGGGTCCTCCTTAACGGAGGCCTGGGAAGCAGGGATGTCAGTGTCCCCGCTTCTCAGATGGGCAGCCTGAGGCTTGCCAGGCCAGCTAGCTTGGCAGGGCAGGGCGTGGGAGTGCAGAACAATGGCTGGGTGTGGCAGGCATGGAAACGTAGGATGGAGACCTTGGAGAGTAAAACGAGGGGTGGCCATGGCTTCTGGAAGCCTGTGGGGTGGGGCTGAGGCTCAGTTCCCCTGGTTCCCAGTGCCATCCACCATCTTGTGTCATGGTAACAAGGGGAGGGGCCCCAGGCTGCCCTGTTCCAAGCCCAAGGAGGTACCAAGAAAGAGGCTTATCGCCCAACAGCCCCAGCACCGCCCCAGTACTCTGCAGGTATGGCCAGTGCTATTGGGGTGTCTTGACGTGGGGGTCTCCAGGTCGGGGTTACAGGACAGTGGCTTGCTTGGGCCTGTTCTAACAAGCAGACTTGATTTTGTCACTGAAGTCACAGGGACCAGGCAGCCTCAGTGGCTCTGCCTCTCTCATACCTCCCCTAGGTCTGGGAAATCTTCACTTCACCATGCTTCTCCTGGCTGTCTTCCAACCTCTGAACCTGGTGGAGCGCCCCGACCCCCCCTCAGTCCCCTCCTGCCTTCCCTCTACTGAGATGCTGGGGTCAGACCCAGCCTAGCCCCGCCCTCAAGCCCCTCACCTTCCTGCTACTCCCTGTGACATGACCTCTCCCCTGCCCCAGCTCCTGGCCCACAGTCCTCACCCACAACTCTGCCAGTCCTTGCAGGGCCCAGCAGCCCCAACTCAGCCAGAGAGGCCCAGTGCCACCTCCTAGCACTCACCAGAGGAAGGGGGTTTCCACTGACAAGGCCATTCCACGGGGTTGCTCCAGCCAGTGGGCCGAGGTCCTGAAGTGGCCTGGTGGGATGCTGGGAGACCCTCAACATTTGCCACACTGTGAGTGCTAGAGGAGTCTGCACGGTTTCCTCTTGTGGCTGTCAGGCTTTCATGCACATTGGAGAATCCAGACCCTGTGCGGCCACCGTGGGGGGGTCTGGTGCCGTTTGGGAGCGAGTCACTGGGTTTCAGGGTCTGCCCCTTCCCCAAGCACTCCAGTCTCCTCCATCAACAGGACATGGCTGACAGGCCGGCCTCCCTCACAGCACTTTATTTGCTATTTTTGTTTGATTCATCACAAGTACATTGGGACATATGTTCGTGGCATTTTATAATGTTGTTTTATGTTTCACAATGTTGAATGGCCAAATACCCTTTGTTTGTTTTCTTTTCAATTCTGTTTTAGTTAAAACATTATTTTCTGAAGCTCAATTAATTAATAATGGCTGTGCAGCACATGTGAGGGCCCTGCTCATTTTTTACCCTGTCGCAGCCCCAAAGATGCTGTCGAGCCCTTGGCGGGTGCTGAAAGCCTTCGTCCAACAGCTCCGGTGTGGGCCGGCCACCCCGTGCCTGCCCTTGCCTTCTCGCTCCAGTGAGGGCTGAGCCAGCACCAGGGTGCCCGAGGGAGTCTTCGTGGCTGCCCGCCAGCCTATTCCTGCCCTCTGCTGGGGCGGGTGGGGGCACCACCACTTCCTACATCCTGCCGACCCCAGACCCAGCTGCCCGAGGTCGCCGTGTGGGTGTCAGGGCACCTGTGTGTAGTGTGAGCTCTGGGCTGGCACTCCTGGTGGCCTACACTGAGCCTTGGGCAGTGCAGGGCCTGACCCGAGCAGGGCTTTGTGGCGTGACTTGGATGGATGGTGGATGATTAGGGCTCGGCCAGCCTGGCACTCACCTGCGCTGCTGCTGTAGTGTACAGGGGTCTCTGGGCCTGGGTGTCCACCCCTCAGAGACCTGCCCAGGAGAAGATTTGTCTTACAGACACGTGGCTCGGCTGCAGGCTGCCTGCATGTGGAAGAGAGGGATGCACTCACTCCGCAGCCAGCCTGAGCCACGGTTCACCCGGACCACAACCTGCGGGCCCAACCTCTCACCTCTTGCCTGCCCTGCCCATCAACTGGGAAAACAACTATCGGAGCCATCAGATGCCCACAGGCCATTGTGTCTTGTCACCCAGGTTTATCACGCGTATTATAAACCGCTGGAGTTCACCGTGGCGGAGCGGGATTCGTCCCAGTGTTACATAAAGGTGGGTGTCCTTGTGGTGGCAGGGGCGGGGGCATGCCCAGGAAGTAAGAGGGAGGGAGGGAATGAGGTGGCTGAGGGGTGAGGGAGCCCTATATGGCCCCCAAGACTTACTCCCGTGGAGCCAAGCCATGTTGCTGTCCCCCGTGTGGGCTCTCGTTCCTCATCCCTGCAGCTCAGTGCGGCCTTGCTGGGCCCTTTGCATCTGAGCAGGGCCACGCATGTGTTCGAGGCTGCCCACACAGGCTTCTGCCAGGGTGGGGGTGGGGCATACGCTGGGGTCCATTCCCCACTCCCCTGGCTGACACTGTGGCTTTCAGATGGTGTGTCTGCGGGAACCCCCACAACTAGTGCTCGGCCTGCACTTCCTCGGCCCCAATGCAGGCGAAGTCACTCAAGGATTTGCTCTGGGGATCAAGTAAGTTCTGAGGAATGTCTGCTGTTACGTTATGCTAGGACTGAGTGTCCCTGCTAAATGTTGGCAGCACTACAATGAAAAATCCTGTGTGTTATGTTGCTTTTATGTAGCACTGTGCATGTTTTCAGCAGAGATTCTCTGGTCCTTTGCTCAGACGTGGCAGGTTCAGTTAGAAGAGAGGCTGCTTTCTTCTCCAGCCAAATGCTGTTGAGCCAAAGACACATGGGTGTCCATCTGTAGCTGGCCACCCGGGGCTGAGGAGAGAGGGCTCACACCCCCACCAGCCCTGGGGACCACCATGCTGGGTCCACTCTTTGGGCCTCTTCTACACAGCCTAAGGCACCAGGGTTGAGGCCCTCGCCACTGGTCGAGCCTGCGGGGAGTGGTGAGCAAGGCTGATTTGGCTTGGGAAGGCTGGAGGGTGGCAGTGTGTCTGGAGATGCCCATGGAGTGGCAGCATGGCTTCCCGAGCCTGGCTGTTGCCTAGGTCTTAGGCTCAGGCCGTGTGTTTGTGGGGCACTGGGGCTGGCCTTGGGCCTTTGCTGCAGGATGCAGAGGCCATGGCTCTGGGATTGGGGTGGATTGTTTGGGGCAGTGAGGAGGTCAGGCAGGCGATCTAGGGCCATCAGGAGGCAGGAGGTGCCGGAGCACAGCTGAGACCCACCCAAGTGGCAGCAGTGAGCCCATCTGTGGGCTGAGCGGAGGTGTGGGCACAGGAGGAGGCTGCCCACATTGCAGAGGGTATGCAGGCAGCCTGGGCCCCAGTGAGGTTGGGCATATGGGTGTGGCTGACAGCCAGCCTGGAGAAGAAAGGCATCCTTGGGCAGGTGGATGCAGGAGTTCTGTAGACAAGGAAGGGCATGGAGATGGAGATGGTCTGGGGGTGCCAGGAACAGATACTGCCACCCTGAGAGGCTGTCAGAGGGGCCGTCTGGGCCGAGGGTCCAGGCCAGATGCTCCGGGGCACCTGACCCTGCCCACAGGCAGCCTGGCCCCTGAGGTGTGCTCCCTCCCCTCGTGGTTCCCACCAGGTGGCCTTGGGGCCACCCTGACACAGGGCAGCGAGTGTCTGGCCCCACCATTGGCCTCTTTGGCCTTCACGCACAGTCAGGGTGGATTCCCGGGTTGTAGGGTCAGGTTTTCCCTGATCTGGGGCTGCAGAGGAGAGCAGGGAGGGCTGGGTCCAGGAGATAGGACCCCAGCTGGGCTCACATTCTGAGAGCATGTGTCTGTAGCCCCCAATCGCAGGGATGCCCATCACAGAGTAGCATCCGAGCCAGAGCCATCATTTGGATGTCTAGTCTAGAGTGGCTATTGGAAGAAAGCCCATAAATATGGCCCAGGCTCTACCCAGAGTCCTGCTCAGAGCCTGGGTGCAGGGGTTGGGGGTCTGCCCTGGGAGTGAGGAGAGTGACTGCAGGTGACTTCTGGGACCTGACCCATGGCGCCTGGCCCTCCTACGGGCCATCTCCATCTGTACCCTGGCATGCGGATGCTATTGCTAACACTGATACACAGTTTCCAGGAACAGCCTCTGGAAAGGCTCTTTAAATATGATGGCTACTTTTAATAATGCAACAGGCAAGAGCTTGTTTCCTTGATATACAAAGAGCTCTTAAAAATCAATAACAATAATAAGGTAAGCAACCCAGTGGAAAAAAGCGAGGACATGAATAGGCAATTCATGGGAAAGGAAAATAAAAATAACTACTGGAAAGTTGCTGTACCTCATTCAGAATTTTAAAATGTAATTGAAACACCAAGAAGCCATTTTGGTTGGTGAGAATTCAAAGGTTTGACAGTGTCAAAACCAAAAAAAACCAAACCCGTTGCCATCGAGTCGATTCTGACTCATAGCAACCCTATAGGACAGAGTAGAACTGCCCCATAGGGTTTCCGAGGAGCACCCGGTGGATTCGAACTGCCAACCTTTTGATGAGCAGCTGTAGCTCTAGTGGTGATAATTTCCCAGAATCTGCACAGGGGAGACGCTGAAGGCGGGAAGACACTGTCAGGAGGAGGGTGGTGAACTGGAACTGCCCTCCTGCCCACATTTGAAATGCACGCACCCTTTGTTCACATCAGGAATTTATTCACCAGATCTTCCAACACACGTCTGCAAAGATAAATGCATTGCTATTTGCTGCAGCCTTGTCTGTAATGGCAAGAAATGGAGCCTGTCGCCATCCGTGCCCTGTTGGTGCCCAGCCTGGGTGCACCCAGTATCCACACACTGTGGCCCTTGAGGAGGTGAAGAGCATGTGGGTGATCGCTGTGGGTGTGCACAGGCATGTGCAGATGTCTAGAATAACCACAGGCAGCCCTTAATCCAGAGATCTTGGGCAGACGGGCTAGGGAACCTGGGTGAGGGCCAGTTCACAGGAGGCCGGGGAGGCCAGGATGGAGAGCCTGGGTCACTGAGCCTCTTCTGCACAGCCCGCCCTGTGCTCCTTGTTGGGTGGGCAGTAGGGCTGGACCAGGTCTGTGCCAGGCAAGATGTCAGTGCTCAGACACAGCCCCAAACAGGGCCAACGGCCCTTGTCCATGCAGTGGGAACTTGAGCACAGTCATTGTGCCCTGTGTGAGAAGTGCTGGGTGCTGAGCAGAAGAGAAAGTTGAGCGGGGCCAGGTGGGAGCCAGGCTGGGGTGCAGGCTGCAGTGGAAAATGGGTTTGGTTGATTCCAGGCAATTCCAGGAGCAAGCCAGGCAGAAGGAGCAGCTGGAGCCGAGGCCTGGAGGTGGGCCGAGGCTGGTGCGTGTGCCTGGTGGGCTCGGAGCAGCAGGAGGTGGTGGCTGGGGTGGAGGGAGGTGGGGCCCCAAGCGGCAGGGCCTGCTTGGCCGTGGCAGGGACTGAGCGTTTACTCAGAGGGAGACAGGACAGCTCTGACAGATGTGACAGGTATTCCTGGCTGCTGGATAGAGAAGAGAGGCGAGGGTGAGGGGAAGGGGACAGTGAGGAGACTCAGTGGACGGTGGGACGTGAGCTGACCTCCCTATGGCTGACGCCTCACCTTTGTCCCCATGTACAGGTGTGGGGCCTCCTACGCACAAGTGATGCGGACAGTGGGTATCCACCCCACCTGTGCCGAGGAGGTGGCCAAGCTTCGCATCTCCAAGCGCTCGGGCCTGGACCCCACCGTAACGGGCTGCTGAGGTTAAGCTGCCATCCCTGCAAGGACCGGGCACCAGCGTACAACTACCACCGCTACTGCTGTCGTCACCGACGCCAGACCTCTCAGAGCCCCCATCCAGGTACGCGTGTGTGGAAAGCTGTGTTTGTGGATGAGCACGTGGGTTGGGGTGTCTGAGGCCACTGAGAGCTACTCTCACCAGGCACATGGCAAGGGCTGCATCTGCTGTGCCACCATGAGCCAGTGAGGTCTGTGCCCTGTGTCAAGCCCACAGTGGCTGAGAGGCAAAGCTGAGCCCTGTCCTTCCCCTGCTCAGGCCCCGCCCTCTGCGGTGCACCCCGACGCAGAGATGCTCAGGGCGGGCTCAGAGTCGCTGGTCACCGTGGGCTGCAGGCATGGCTCCCATTTCTTTCATGCCCAGAAGGTGGAGACGCTGCCCCTTGCACACCACCCATCTACACATCTGGTTCTGTTACAACTTTTCAAAAGCCGGACTGAAGGAGCGGTGGCTGGAAGCCTCAGGGGATTTTGTTCATCTAAAACTCTCTTCAGAGGAGGAAGAAGTGACAAGCCCCTCCTTTGCTTCTGTGAAGGGGTGCACGTGCTCAGGGACTTCTCATCTTCCAAGTCTGAGCGGGGCTCTCCTCCGGCCTTCCTTGGGGCCAGTTGCCCCACGTGTGCACCCAGAGCTGTCAGCCCCTCCCAGGATTGGGTCCTTTGGGCCTCCCCCCTCAACTGGCTGGGTTGAGGGGTCTGGGGCAGCTCCCAGGGCATATCCTGTGGGCTGCATCCCGCCACAGCCCTCTGAGCGAGGCTGCCTTTGATACACAGAAACAAAGGACGTCCTGAGGAGGCTCTTATCGGCAAATCCAGTCTCGCAGAGCTGTTTTGTTAAGGGCCCTGGGAAAAAGAAGCTTGCTATAAATTTTTATCATTTCAAAATATTTTTATGACAGTGCTGCGATCCCGGTGACGCACCTACCTGCCTTGGGGTAGAGGCAGGGAGGAAGGGAGGGGCGCCTACCTCACTGCCGGGGCAAGGCGGTGGGCACCGTGGCTGCTGTGCTAACCCCAGTGTGCACCTGCAGGTCGGCTGCAGGACTTGCCCTAGGTTGGCCTCTGTGGCAGAAGGCGTGGAGGCCAAGCCTAAGCAAACCGCGCCCCCTGGAGACCCTGTGAGAGAGTGTCAGCGTGCGGTGGCCATGTCTACACAGACTGCCTGTGTGCCCTGCCGAGATGGCTGAAGTGGGGCTGTCAGCCCCCTACCGGCACCCTCTCCCCGTCCTGGGCCAGCCCATCGGCCCCTGGCGCCAGTTGATGATGATCTGTGCAGAAACCCACCCTGTGGGCTGCCCACATCTGAGCCCCCTGGCGTTTCTGGAGTGCAAATAAAGAGGGTGTTTTCCTGATGTGTGCTCTGCCTGTGGTGTCCCTGATGGGGTGGGCAGGGTGGGGGGCACTGGGTCAGTGGGGCTTGTCTGGAGCAGTGTGCATCTGTGTTCCCAGCAGTGCACGGCCAGTATTGGGCAGACCCTGACCCTCCTGCCTCCAGCAGGAAGCCGCCACCCCACACCTCTGCGGCTGCCGGCTTCAGGCCCATAGGTACCCGGTCTCAGGATCCCACCATGCCTCTTCTGGGACCTTCTGCCCAGGCCACCCTCACAGCTCTCTGCATGCCTCACATCGAGAAGGGTGGCCAACCACAGGCGTGGTGGCAGAACAGCATGGCAGCGGTGCGTTTGAAGCACCCCATCCCTGAGCGTCCAGCTCCTCGTTACACTCCTGCTGTGGCCTCGAGTCAGGCTGTCAGCCGTGCTCAGGCTAATCCCCACACTGAGGCTCGACATCGAGGGAACGCACCCGTCAGTCACTGAGGAGACGGTGCTGACAGGGCAGGCAGGGCCGCATTGTGCTGGGGCTTTGCGGCAGCTAATCGGGTGTCTTCCTTAAGAAAACATCACTTAGTCTGCCGGCCAGGAGCCGTGGATGGGACCCTGCTTGTCAGCAAACAAAGGAATGTCTTTTCACCTTAATGGGCTGAATGAAGCCTGGTGACGGCTAGTGTGAATCGGGTGCACAGCTCTCAGACGCCCAATTAAGATGCCAAGCACGCTGGGCCTGCTAACCTCGACAAGTGCAGCGAGATCAGCCGTGTCCCATTTAATGCACGGCTGCCGATACGCCCGCTTCCAGCAGGTCCTTGGGGAGGGCGCGCCTCAGAGAGGTGGAGGTTTCCCGTCTTGAAGGCAAAGGGTGACCTGCTGCAGACATCAGCTAACCTTGGACCTGCGGGAGGTGCCGTGCTGGCCCCTCTGGCCCTGGGAGCAGCCCCTGCCTGGGTCACATCTAGGAGTTTGAAAACGGCCTTTCTGATTGTAAAAATAATGCACCACGTTCTGAGGAGACGTGGTCCAAGTGGGGCAGCGTTTTGTGGTGAGGCCTTTGGCTTCTCTACCAGGCCCGCTGGCCAGTAGTGCCCCCGCCTTAGACGGCCCATAGTGCTGCCCCCATGTTCCCGTGACCCCATAGCCCTCTCTGGGTGGTTTTCTCTGCACACCCCTTTTCTCTCCAAATGGAACTTGTGCCCGCACATCTACACTGTTTGTCAGCTCTGCTTTCACCATACTGGTGTCTGGAGGACAGTCTTCACCACCAGTCCACCGGCCTGCACTATCCTCTAGGAGGGAACAAAATGTCCACAGGCCTGCCCACTGGTCACCACCAGGCTCTGTGGGGCCTGCAGATAGCCACATAACCCTCGACATCCAGCCACAGAGATGCCATGGGTGCTCGCTGGAGGCTCTGAGGCCTGTGCCGGGTAGCCCTGAGGTTCCATTCCCACACGCCCATGGCCTGCATGGGGCTCTCCTGTGGGCAGGTGAAAGGATGCAAAGAGGAGCCCAGCCCACAACAGCGGACCCCGACTGCCCTCTGGGCCAGGGCTTGTCAGTACACACTCTTGGCTGGCTGTGGCGCCCAGTGGACTGGACTGGGCTCAGGGGACCCTATGAGCACTAACACCCCACACATTCCTGCAATGGTGGTGTACTGGGACCCTGGAACCCCCAGGCAGCCATGGGGCTGGGACGAGAAGCTGAGGCTCTGGCAGGACAGGGCGTGCAGACAGGCGGCTTCCCGGGACCACCCACACAGGGCTCCCCAGCCTCAACCCTCAGGGCGGGCCCTGTGCACGTGGGTCTAGCGAGTTGATTAGGAGCATCCAGAGGAGGCTGGCTGTGGTTTCTGTCCTGTGGTGCCCCACTGCTCCAGCTCACTGCGTGGCCCCAGGACGAGGCCGCTGGGTGTTGCCGACACCCAAAGGGGAGCGCAGGGAGGGGTGGCAGGTGGGGCTGGAGCACCACAGGCCAGGTGCTTTCCACCTTCCCGCCGCCTTTGCATGTTTTTATGGTGCAATGAAAATACGATTTTAATTCCTCGGATTGTTCTGTGTAGCCTACAATTACCCCCGGCGACGTCCTGCATGTTCTGCTGTGGCTCCGGGTTGCGTAATGACGTGGGAGTGGGCAGGAGAGGAGCGGCCTGGGCTGCACTCAGGCTCAGCCACTCCCTCTACCTCAGTCTTGGCCCTAAGGCAGCCAAGCCACCACTCGTTCGTCCATCCCCAGCCCTCTGTGATGCTGTCTGGCAGGCCCTGAGGTCCTTCACTGTCTTGGGTGGCCTGGAAGGTGAGTTCACAGAGCAGGGCTGGACCAAGGGCCAAAGGGGCACAGGAGGCCTGGCAGGGTCCCTGAAGAGGGGGCCTGGGACTGATGGCAGGAGATGGGGAGTGCAGACAGCTCACAACAGACAGCTGAGGTGCTCAGGCTGCAGGCCCCCACCAGACCCACCCAAGAACCCCACCGCCCAGCCCGGGGGTCTCTGCCTTCATGCAGCTGGAAGCTAAGGAAGCTGCCCTGTCCTCTCAAGGCCAGCCTGGGGTCCCCCTGCCCTGCCAGCTCACCCCTCCTTCCTTGACACCCTCTGGCAGCCCAGCATGAGGCAGAGGTAGGCCGGGTGACACCAAGAGGCATGAGTCTCTGACATGGTGGGTGTCACCACTTCCTGTTTTGAGTCCACCGTGGCAGGGTGAGGGTTGGCAGGGGATGGCAGCAGACACCTGAGCGCCTGCAGGCTGAGAGCTGCGCCTACCTCCTGCTGCGCCCACAGTCCTCCTCGCACGAGCAGCAGTAGCTGTGCCTCCCTGCACACCAGCTGGGTGCCGAGGACTTGGTGTGCCTACATTGTCCACACAGTGTCATGAGGTGAGGGCGCTCACACCTGCTCTGGTGCTGGAGCCTATAACCCTGGGAGGGAGGAGAAATGAGACTATGGGCCCGTTTTACAGATTTTGCTTCTGGACCTGTATGAGCTTGATCACAGGACAGCAGACCCAGTCCAAGCAGGCTGACCAGCCCACGCTTGCTTCTCCCCACATCCCCGTGGATACAAGGGGAACCCATCCTCCCCCTTCTGCCGGCCCCTGCTGCACGGCCCAGCTCCCAGCAAGCTTTCGCGTTTCTGGCCCTGCCAACTGACTGTTCCAGAGTCCTGCACATCCTGGTCCCAAGCCAAACACCTGTGACCACGAGGGTAGCAAGGAGGATGCTGACATCGGCCTGCTGGGCCCGGCAAAGCATCCTAGACCCGAGCCTGCTTAATCCCAGCCCTGACGCGGTTTATGGGGCTCAGGTTTCCCTAATCCCGAAATTCAAGCTGGGGGCCCAGCAACCTTGCCAGCGCCATCTGAGTGGGCAATCAGGGCCTTCCTGGTGGGCAGCAAAGGGACTCTGTCCCCTGTGCTGTTTGTGTTTCGAGATGACCCCCAGCGGGTTCTTGTGGCTTTCTTTCGCTCCAGGCAGGGCCTGCTGCCTGCAGAGAAGTGCTCACCGTCATAGACATCAGGGACAGGCAGGGGGCTGGGCACCCAAGGGGGAAAATCTAGCCCCGAGTAGCCTGGGCGAGCTCAGAAAACAGCTGGGCCTTCAAGCTGCCTGGCCAGCCCTGCTTGGCTTCTTCCCGGCAGGAAATTCAAAGCCTGTGGCAATAGCAGAAATGATGGTGAGGCCAGTCCAGCTCCAGCCTGCTGACTCCAGCCTCTAGGGTTTCATGGGACAAGGATTGGGCCTTGCAGTTCCATGAAGCTTTTCTTTTTAATAAAATTTAGATCTTTTTGGCTTATAACTGCTGATCAAATAACACAAAATGCTTGGGAATAAAGTGGGACCATAAACAAAAAGCAATGTGACCTAGTTACGTAGCAGCTGGGAGGTAGGAGCCAGCTGGCCCAGCTCCCTTCCCTGACTGGTGGCCACCAACCCACCAGGACTCCCTGTAGCCAGCCCCTCTCTGGGTACCAGGCATATGTGTGAACACTACCACCAGGCACCCCAGCCCAGATGGGAACACCCATGGGCCCCGTTTTTATAATAGTATCAGTGAGACATGCAGCCCACATTTAGTGAGAACAGTTAATGGCACCTTATGTGTCTTCAGCATTTTTGAAGAATTTTCATATCCACAAATGTCCCTGAAGCAGACATGATTAA